TCGATCCATAAATTGCTTACAATTGACCTTACAACTGTTTTCTATCAGTTCATGCAAACAACCAATAGTCTTTAAATATTTCGTCGAGAATATTATAAAACTCTTTTTTCATCCAAAATAAAGCACGCGGGCAAAGAGGTTAATCGGCATTTGCTAACTTCTCCCTAACTCTTTTTTTTGTTTGAAATCCTATTAAGGAACTCCTGCAAGGTAGACGTCATCTTCATAATTACACTGTATTGAACGATAGCAAAATTGTATTTAAAAATTTGATTAGCCTGACAGTCAGATAACTAAGATTTTGAAACGCCCTCTAAAACCGATAGATGATGGACTTGTTTTGGTCGCTAATCTCTCCCATCTAAAAAGGTGCCTTAAAATCTTTCTTTCTTTTCTGCAAAATGTAAAATATTAAGGTCCATGCGAACATATAGGCAGCACTGCATGAATTTAGAACTTCAAAAAATTTATTATCATCCCAAAATTCTAACCTGTCGATCCAGTGGATACCTCCTCATTGACATTGCGCATTTTCCTGAAATATGCATTGAAATAGGATTAGCACATCCGCAATAAATCCAGAATGCTTCAAGAAATGAAGGAAGGTTGCCTTTGATAGTCAATCTGCTACTGAACAATACGGTCCCATCCGGATAGAGTCTTACCAAACGATTACTTGTAGTCATTGTGTGCGTATAGGACCGTGCCCCGTTCCAGAAATACTAGAACAGAGCTCATATTGCTATGGTTTCTATGGTCAGCATCAATTTTACCGTATCGGGCTTCCAAATCTTATCCAGCATAGCCATACTTAACGATAGCGATTGTTTAGTTTGTGTTCCATTAAATTTCAGTCGTGAATCAGTCCACATTTGTCGGAAATAGCAATTGAAGGAGTACGTCTAAAGGAAGGTAATATGGCAAATTTAGGAAAAAAACTTTCAAAGAAAAGAGCTGGCAAACTTACATCCGTGAGATCGGATATAGGTCCCATTGTACGCACAAAAATGTCTATGAAGACTATGGTTTTTTCCACTAAATCGAAGAAAAAAAGCTGTTAGAATTTTCAATTATTTCAAAAGGTATTTATTCATTAAAATCAGCTGGTAATC